AACAAAAAACTAAAAAAAAAACTAAAAAAAAAACTAAAAAAAAAAGAAGGCTTGGAGTGATAGATACTCGTTTTGGAGCTGGGTGTTACACCACTTTGCCTCTGTTTCGATCACTGTCTTGACTGGGCAGGTGTGTTACCAATCTCATGGAATAAATGTTTTGGAGCTGGGTGTTACCCCACTTTGTCTCTGAATGCCATCACTTTCCTAGAATTTGAGTTGTGTATTAATCGCTTGGTGATAAACAACTGGAAGTCTGTGACTTGAAGAGACAGACACACAAGAAGCCTAACATGTGTTTCTAGACCATACAGATGAGCGAGAGAACAGAGCTGAGTTTGCGGACTGAATGCTGTAGAATCTCGTTTGTGATAGCTACTCGGCTGAGAAATAGCTACAGACTTGGGTTGACTCATTGATTTCATTCAATAGTTTTGGTAGCTAGATGTGTGGATAAATCGTTCTTTAGTGACTTTACCCCCGAGATGTAGGCATCATGTCCATCGATGCCCTATGTGTATATTCTGGTTGCTCTACAGGACTGGCTCATATCACAATTCACATGACCAATGTGCTCTCCCACGAATGTAAGTGAAGTCTGTGCTCCTTGTTACATGTGTGCATAACACAACTGACTTTGTGCCTTACACTCATTGTTCTCATAATTCGCTTGAGAAATAAGGGTGTAGTACTTGTAGAAATTGCTTGAATTATATGAGTCCCTAACCTTGAGTTTTTATCTTAACTTGCATCTACTCAGGGGGAGAATACCCACAGTACACACAACAAAGTTGTTCTGATCATGGAACTCTGTAGTTGTTGTTAAGATGTTGCTTCATGTTGTTGTGTTTGGTTTAGTCTGTTTGTGCACTCTTTGTTCTATCAATGTGTCTTGTTTCGGATTTCTCATATTATCGGCTTTTAGGAGACTAACCGATATGATTGATATAGAGTGTTGTCCTGCATTTCGAGCTTTGTTGGAACAGGTTGAGTAGGTTTTCACATTCAGATAAAAAGGGGGAGAATGTAAGCTCAAGGATTGTGAGCTTGTTCCGTCTAAGATGTGAGTGTGTTACACAATGCGATGATTGTGTAACACAGTGCAATAAGTTTGTCACGTGTAATGACATGGGACAAACTTATTGAAATAGAAGATATTGCTTGGGTGCGAAGCAAAGAAGATCTTCTAGCTGGCGATATTTTTGGAAGTAGAATATTGCCTTTTTTATGCCTACTTAACGAGGCAACCTAAGAAGGTTTTAGGTTAGACGTTAAGAGAGAAAAAGCTAGAGCAAGAGAGTTGTTCTTGTCAGCTACAGAGATCAAGAAAACAGGGGTTTGGCTTGGGTTTCTGTAATTTAGAAATTAGGAACTGGTCCGTCGCTAGTCGGGTGTGACTGAGCTTAAATCGGATTAAACAGATGTAGGAAGATTGTTTAAAAGATTTCTAATATACAAGAAGTGTTCTTGAATAACTTGTATACGGTTCTTATTTACGTGTCTCTGAACTTTCAAGTGGTGTTCCAAAAAAAACATTGTACTTTATCTAGTCTTTATCAGATTTTTCAACAGCTCATAAAAATTGTGACTCGCCTAAGTATGTAGTCGATAAGTAACTTTCGGAATCGTGGAATGATTCCGTCATTTTATACTATTGATAACGTGGTTTAATGATACAAACGAGAAAATAATGACCGGAAATACTTAATGATACAAACTGACCTTGTTTTGGGGACCAAAAGACAAACTGAGAAGTAAGTTCAATTAATTACCAAAACAACCAAATGCAAGAAAATAAAGACAACTTGTCTATGATCAACTTTTTTAGGCGCTGACAGAACACACGATGACAAGACCGCATATGACGTAAGAGGGTGAGGCTGTGATGCGGTCGAGTAAGCGGTTGGCATTGCAGGTCCACCCACTTTGGTTATCTCTTAATGTCGACCCATGCTATAGCTTCCTACACAACCACCGATAGCTAGGCACACCATGAATATGAACAATGGTAGCGAGAAATACACTACGATCATTGCTTACAATCTCTGGATTTAAGATAAACCGATGTGAAACCGAGAGAAATCGGTAAGCAAAAGAGAAATAGATGAAGAGGGAATGGAGAAACAAATTTAAGAGATTTTATGGATTTATAAATTTAATAGATTTTTGACATTTTGTTCTTCCGTCTGAACCTGCGTGTACGTCATCTAATATGATTGTTTTATTATTTGCTGACTTGAAATCATTATTCTATTATTGTCTTTTAACGGCTTCTGTTTTTGTCTTTTGTATCATCTATTAGACAAGTAAAACTTAAGGCAATTACAAATCTAAAACAAAAACAAAATGATAATTAATAAAACACACAAAAAATATTTGAAATTGCATGAATTGAAGAATTACTTTCCATCTATATATGTAAACATATTATTTTCTTAAAATTATGAAATATATTAAATTAAGGCAACATGAGTTAGTCTTATAATATTATATCATTTTAGAACGAAATTTTTACCAATCCATGTTAAAGCACATATAGAATCTAATTTATTATAAGATAAAAAGCATCTAAGTTATAAATTAAACCATAAACAGTAACGTGGGTTTAGTTGAGAAAAAAAAAAACTATTGTCAGGATATATATAAATTTCATATTGAGAACCTCCGCCAAAATCCAGAAGTCTACGCTTTGGGAGTGAAAGATCTTTTGACATTAGTGTATGCGTATCATATGGTTCGACTAGACTTTCCTGGAAAAGTATTTTTTTGTGAAGCAACCTTCTTCTTGATTACTCTCATCGACAAAAAACAGTGGATCCGACCACGTCCGAGGCAGGTTTTTCAATCCAAGTTTGAGTTGGCAAACAAACATGTAAATTTATTTTTTTAGTCTAAACGAGTTTATTTACAACATGCTGGAGATTCCTTGTAAGTCATTCTTTCGTAACCTGCATAATTGTTTAATAAATCATTTTCGCCGGAGAATGAAACATGGATCTCCTGGTGTAGAAACATTAATAAACTCTTAGTCAAACCACTGGACCAAAGGGACTTCCACAAACATGTACATTTAATTTGGTATTAAAAGGTTTTCTAAAATAAAATAATAAACTAAACATAAAAGTAATACAGTTACAAAAAAATGATAGAAAGAGAAAGAGTAGATTTTCCTAGCAAAATACTTCGTTTGGTACGTATGGTTGTGGTCAATCTTAGGGCTGGGTAAAATATCCATAAATTTTGATTCGATTCGTTTATCCGTTTCGATTTGAATCGGAAAAAATCCGGATATTCGTAATTTTATGAATCAAAACAAATAATAAAATGTGATATCCATAAGAAACTAAGCAAATAACAAATACTAATATTTTTAGGAACGGATATCTATTATATGCATATATACATATATTTAAAGAAGCATATGTATAAAGTTATGTTAATATTATTATTTTTATTTTTCTTTATTTTAAAAAAAATTCTTTTATTTTTACGGATCAAATCGAATCGGATAATTAATTATTCAGACAAAACATATCAAATTACTAATACCTCCAAATATTCAGATATTCTACCCATACCCACCCCTAATGGTCAGGTGATAGACAAGGCGTCGACGCTTAACAGTGTGTTACAGCACTCCCTCAAAATTTTCTTATGAAACTAAGTCACACCTATGTGAGAATGTGGGTTTGAGTTTCCATCGAGACATTTTACATGATATTCTGGTAAACAATTAGCTCTAATATTAGTTAAAAACATTCTAAATTTATGTTAGGCAATGTGATAATCAATCTACAATATTATATGATATGTATTGTTTTAAGATATTATGGCATTGATCCGGCCACTCTAATCCAGATGCTTCAGGTAATCTTTTCGGGCTCTTCTTATGTGTGGAGTGGCCGGATCAATGCCATACCTTACGGCCTGCTCTATCGTTGAACTCTCGTGTGCATCAACGGGCAGAAGCTCTTGTTTTGAATGTCACTCTCAATGTCGGTTTCTGGGTTAGGTTTTTAAGGAGGAAGCACTTCGATGCTAATGACCGGAGCAGGAGTCAGTGGCGGAGCCACATTGTGTGAGAGGGGGGCATGTGCCCCAACGACTTTTCAAAATGCTATGTAAAACAGTGAATAAGTTCAATATGCCCCCCCCCCATTGTTTTCAGCAAATATACCACTAATTCATTACCAATTTTATTTTTGCCCCCGACAAATAAATTCGCTACCTCCACCCCTGGCAGGAGTTGTCAACCTCCTCCGCCTGTTGTGCTCAGTGTATTCTTCTTTATCTCCAGCACCTGATGGTCTTAGTCTCTTGCAAGTCTCTTGCTCTGGACTCTTTAAGACCTGCCAGATCTTAATTTAATTTGCTGCTTGAGACTCTTGTTTATTAGTTCTAGTTTAGTTTCATTGTGAACTTCTAGACCTAAGTTTAGTATCTAAGTGTTTTTTTCTAATTTTTTATTTGCGGCACTTAGCGACTTGTTAGCTTTCTTAGCAGAATGGGATCCCAGATCATCTCTTGTATCAAACGGTTCATTATCTTTTTAGTGATATTTACATTTTTAGCAGAAAAAAAATGTGTGGTCAGTACCAGCAGTGTAAGACTTTCCAACTCGGCCTTTACTTGTAGCCAGCTTATCGTCCCATGTTTGTATCATGTATACATGAACATGAGTCATTGTCTTCATGTTACTTCGAGAAATTGTGGTTGCTTTTGGTATATTAAACTTTAGGTAAGGTTCAGTTAGGTCTGGTAATGAACGTGAGTTTAGTAACTTTCGTTGGTTTTAGTATATATATTGGTTATCTCGACTACATCGTTAACATTTTTCTGTCTTTGTTTACTTATAGTAGTTCTTTATCCATTTTTTTTCAGAACAAAATGGGACTTAAAAGAAGTCGTGTTGGTATAATTATGCTATGGTAAATAACTGTGGAATCAGAGAATCACTTTTTTTCTTCTAAAATCTGAGAATGATTTCGTCATTTCTTTTTTTGGACATCATAATGACTCCAAAGTTTATTTTTGATAAGGTGGTTGTGAATGCAGACGTCGACAAATATGCAATTAAAATTCAATGATTCAAACAGAAATAAACAATATCACAACTAAAAGACAAGCAAAAGATAGTGTTGGTCTATGATAATTTTTAAACCGCACAAGGTACACAATTAATGACTAGACAGCATAGTTAGGAGGGCAAGGTTGAGCTCCAGTATTGTAACCTTGATTGACTTGTGGTGCGGTCGGATAAGCAGTTGGCATTTCCGGTCCACCAACTTTAGTTATCGCTTGATGTTTACCCATGTAGAAGCATCCTACACAACCACTAATGGCCAGGAACACCATGAATATGAACAATGGTAGGGAGAAATACACAACGACCATCGCTTATAGAGAATTAGTTGAAATTAGTAAGGAAAAGTTAAATAGGTGAAGAGGATATTGCAAAAACAAAGGAAGAGAGTTCTACGTATTTATAAGAGAATGTTGATGATGTTGCTGCAAAGTGCTAGGTATTGACTTTTAAGGTTATGCAAGAAACATAAAATAGTAATGATGGGCAAGTGTGTTCTTTATAAAGTACATATTAAAGAGAGTATAAGGGAATTGTGTATGAAAAGTCAGATGGTCACATGAACATTAACAGATTGATCCGAACTTATCTATGAATGCCGTTTTATTGTCTCGAGTTGGTCATCAACATGTGTTATAAATGAGTTCATAAAGTCTTAGCATTATTGAAGCATTAACCTTGTTCATTTGGTGGATTTTTATGTGGTCAGAAACAAAGAAGACTTTAAGTCTGTTGTATGAAATTGTTATAGTTAGACATCTAAAAACAATTGATCTCGATTTTAAAACTTGTATTTGCAGTATGTTGAAAATTTTAAAAAAAAATTTTAAAAAAAAATTGTGAAAAAATCGAAAGATTTAAAAACCAAAAAGGTTCAATTTAAAGCATATTATTTGAAAGTAATTTAAAAAAAAAAATTATTTATTTAAATAATTATGTATATTTAAATATCTTTAAAACAAGGATATAATGATTTTCATATCTTTAAGGAAATTTTTTTGGTCATTTTTTTGTTTCGAGGTATTTTTGGTGAAAAACTGATTTTATGATCATTTGAGAGAACCACTCTTAATTAAATCCGTAAAATGTATTCCAAATTGTGCAGAGATACTCATATGTCTCGTATAATAAGAGAAGTCAAGTCATACTTTAAAAGTTTGTTGAGTTTGGCACTGTTGTATTATTATTTTTTGGATTATATTGAATGATTGATTCATATGTTTTGGCTGGCAACCAGTTTTATTCATTACTGTTATGACTAATTTATTTTCAATTATGTCTAACTGACTTCATGTAAGATTCGTGGTTTCCAGTTCTATCTTTGTAAATGTAACTTATATGCAAGTTTAGCGGGAACGTAGAAAGTAAAGATTTGCGGATGGCCTTTATAATAGAAAGTAATAGAAACAGTATCCTGCTTCTTAGCACGCCATATAACCGGAGAGTCACCAATGAACATAATAAATGCACTGAGGGAGCGTCGAGAAACCGGACAAGAGGACCAATCAGAATCACAGTAAGCGCTAATTTGCAGAGAATCATTAGCTTTGAGGAAAATGCCTTGTCCTGGTGAGCCTTTTAAGGTAACGAACAACACGTAGAGCAGCTTCCCAATGAGGTAGGAGAGGCTTTTGCATGAACGTCAAAAGTATATACACAACATATCCAAGATCTGGTCGAGTAGTAGTCAAGTAAATCAGGCGGCCCACAAGGCGACGATACTGCTGTGCATTTGCAACCGGCCCCTATGCCTCGAGCAGTTTATGGTTAAGCTCCAACGGTACATAGCATGGTTTGGCGCCTAACAAACCTGTTTCAGAAATAATATCAGCGCATATTTGCGCTGAGATAGATAGAAACCAATGTCACTGTGAGCAACTTCAACCCCCAAAAAGTATTTTAATTTCCCAAGGTCCTTCATCCGAAAACACTTGTGAAGATAGTCTTGAAACTCTTGCAAAACAGTAGCATCATTGCAGGCAATAATGAAGTCATCAACATAGACTAAAATGGGGAGACAAACAGAACCCCGTATCTTGGAGAAGAGTGAGTGATCAGCATAGTCATGCGAGAAACCAAACCTTGTAAGGGCGTTAGTGAGCTTAGCATACCAGCAATGCGGAGCTTGACGTAACCCATATAAGGACTTCCTCAATCTGCATACTTTAGTAGGATCGGAGCAAGTAAACCCTTGTGGCAATTTCATATAAATTTCTTCTTCAATATCTCCATGCAAGAAAGCATTTTGAACATCCATTTGATGCACCAACCAACCTTTTGCAGCAGCAAGTTTCAGTATATACGAACCGTAGAAAGCTTCGCCACAGGAGAAAATGTCTCCGTGAAATATTCTCCTTCTTTCTGGTTGTTTCCCAGAACTACAGGTCTGGCTTTAGGCCGTTCTATTGTGCCATCAGCGCGATATTTGTTTGAGTAGAGCCACATGTTTCCAAGAGCTTTCCTTCCCGGAGGAAGTTTTGTGACGTCCCATGTATTTGTTGCATCAAACGCATCAACTTCTTTTCTCATCGCATCATTCCAGATTTTTATTTTAGCAGCTTCCTTGAACGATCTAGGAACGTCATTGTTGGTGATAGCAGCGAGATAAGCTCTGTGTGATTCTGAAAACATGTGGTTAGACACATAGCTGGAGATAGGGTAAGGAGTGTTACCTGAGACCGTTTGAAGAGGACCATGATCAGTAGAGGAGAGATCGTGAGAGGGTTTATTAGTTGTGAGAACAAAGTAAGTCACATAGTCCTTGAGAAGTATAGACGGAGTCTTATGACGCAAACCACTACCAAGGATCTCAGGTAAACCTAGAGTAGCAGGTGGCGATGTTGAAGGTTGTTCAAAAGGAGTAGTAGTAGCAGAAGGGGAAGCTGGTTCAGTGGGGATATGTTCCTCAGAAGTATTAGTGCCAATATCTGCAGACTCTGTAGTAGTAGGAGCAATTGCTACCGTATCATCATGCTCAGTAGTAGGTAGAATATGAGCCTGATCAGTAGTAGGAGTGGTTAGTGGTTCCGTAGCAGGAGAAGTAGTAGTCGGAAGAGTAGAAGAGACTAGTGGGTTATGCGGGGAACTCCCCCTTGATTGCGAAGCTGGTAAAAGCCAATCTTCAATAGAGGCATCATAGTATTTAGTAGGAGGCAGAACATAATCATCCGAGTCTACACCAGGAAATTTTGACTCAGAGAACACAACATCTCGGCTTGAAAAAAATTCTTTAGTAGTAAGATCATAAAGCTTCCATGCTTTCTTTCCATAGGGGTAACCAACAAAGATGCATTTACGGCTCCTATCTCCAAATTTATCTTCGTCTCTAGACCTGCAATGTGCATAGCATAGACAACCGAAGACTCTTAATTGATCATAATCAGGCTTTTTATTGAAAAGGAGCTCGTAGGGTGTTTTTCCATGTAGAACTTGAGATGGTGTGTGATTGATTAAATGCGCTACCGTGAGTATACTTTCTCCCAAAAACGAGGGAGGAAGGCGAACTTGAAACAAACATGTACGAGAAATGTTGAGGATGTGACAATGTTTCCGTTCAACACATCCATTCTGTTGTGGTGTGTCCACACATGAAGTTTGATGTTCAATGTCGTGTTCTTTGAAGTATTTCCGAAGGACCATGAACTCGGAGCCATTATCAGTTCTTATCTTTTGCACGCTTTTACCAAACTGGCGTTCAGAAAGCGCAAAAAATTGCTTGAGAAGTTCTGAAACCTCTTATCCACACAGCTCTAGAGTAGTCATCAACAATAGTTAGAAAATATTTGGCTCCACAAGAAGAAGCATTCCGGTAAGGACCCCATACATCACAATGTATTAAAGAGAATGGTGAAGAAGCTTTATTAGAACTATTATTGAAAACACAACGAGTTTTCTTGGCTCTAAAACAAATCTCACAAGATGCTGCTTGATCAGAATCAAAACCAAGTTTGTCAACAAACGGTAAAGAAGATAAAACCCTAAACGAAGGATGTCCTAGCCGCCGATGCCAGATTTCTTGGATGCAGTACGATGAACACTTGCAGCTCTGACTCCAGCAAAATAATCTCACGTTCCTCACCCGTCCCAATCAGGGTCTTTGTAAAACGGTCCTGCAACACACACAAAGTATCAGTAAAAATGGTGATGCAACCATTTTGCTTAAGTAGGCGAGAAACTGAAATCAGGGTGCAGTTGAAATCAGGAACATAGAGCACATCAGTTAATCAATAATCACGACTAAGCATAATTTTTCCCTTTTTCTGTGCTTTCGAGTAACGTCCATCAGGAAACTTGATTGACGATGGAAGAATATCAGTGATATCACTTAGTAACGATGAATTTCCTGTCATATGATGCGATGCGCCTGTATAAATAATCACATCATGAAACTCTGGTTTACCAGCCAAATTTTCAGTCGAGATGTTAGACCGTTGTTGAGTAGGTTGTAGTAGTTGAATTATTTGAGAGATTTAATCGTTTCTTATTGGAGTTGAAGATGTTGTATTGTTGTTCATAGCTCGTGTAGAATTGGTGCGGCCACGACCTCGGCTGTCATTGGTCATAGCTCGTGTATTGTTGGTCATACCTTCCTTCTTTCTCCCCGTAATGGTCGTACTGTCATTAAAGGCATTCCTGGTCGTGATGACAGGTGGAGAGAGAAATTCTTCGTCTTCAATATAGACTCGGCTTCGTTCGGTGACTTGGACTTCAGTCAACTCCCCCGCGATTGGCCAGGAGATATAGGTTTGTTTTATGTTGGGCGTTAATTCTTGCATTTATATTACTCTCTCTTAAGGCTTAGTTTTTTTATATATACATAGACCTTTTTGGGAACTCTCCGATGACGCCCGAGTTTTGGGTTTTGATAGAGACTCTACGCCGAGGTCAAACTCGTTGGTCTACCTTCACCATGCAGCGCATTCGGGCTTCTCTTGCTACTCCTCCGGGACGAGGTCGTGCCGATCCTGTTGGTTTGGCTAATCCGGTTCGTCCACGTGGTGGTCGCATTAGTGAGTTCTTCTTTTCTTCGAATTCTTTAAGTGCCAAAAATTTCTTTCCCTCTTGATTGTGTGCATCTTTTTATGTTTCGTTTATCTGTAGGAGTGAGGAGGAGGAGTCTTTCTCCTGACGGCTCCGATGTAGCTCCCGAGGTCGGGACGTCGGAGAGAGTTCGGAAATCTCCATGTGGTCCTACACTTCGCTCGAGGTCAAATATTCGACCTCCAGGAATCCTGGCTCAACTGCTGGCTAATGCTCTTCCGGTGGCTGAGAATCAAATGGTCCCAACTCAATCATCAGAGTCCATGGGTAATGGTCCTC